TCAGGTGCTGCCCCTCTCAATCTGCCCCCAGCCTTGACCTCCCCGAGTGACCTCTTGAGGAGTGGCATGTTCTGTGAGTAATAAACTCTATTTCAGTTTCTCTTGTGATCTGTTGTTGAGCCGCACCTCACCATCTGGCACCCTATGCCCCACTTAGCAAATATCAATTGAACAAAGCCCTGACAGGAGTATCCTGCTGGAAGCTGGCACAAGGCTGGATGGGTCACTTCCAGGGGGACTCTGGGTAAGGCGACAGTGTGAGCAAAGGCACCAGACAGGAGCCCAGCATCCAGGGAGGAGCTGGGACCTTGCAGGGACCCCGAAGATGAGCCCTGATGTGGCACTTTGCTGTGGGGGTGGCGCCTGGCTTCCCTGCACATTTAAGGATTGGGGGCTCACAGGAAACAGCATTGTCAGGAGGTGGCGATGGACACTGCCAAGCAGAGGGAGCGTCCTAGGAGCCTCAGAGCTTGCTGGCAACTATGGAACTTTCTTGGGGGCAGTGCTTGACACCAGGACCCTCCTCAAGGAGTCTCAGCACCTGGTCCATGATGCCCAAGGCCCCACACGGAGAAGAAACCTCACAGGAGCAGTGAGGGCTCTGACAGCCTGCCAGGGCCCAGCTGGGCTCCACTGGGTCCTCCATCCCCCACAGGTCACAGACCCCAACAGGGCCAATGCACACCCACTCCAGGCCAAGGCTGAGCTCACAGACAGCACAGATGGTGCCCATGGACTCCCAGAGTCCACCCAGTACCCAGCATGTGGCTGTGCCAGGGAGCTCAGGATGCACTGGCACAGAGCTGGGCATTGGGCCGGCCTTTCCGGACTCAGACTCCTGATTGCAGCACAGGGATGGGGGAACATGTCGGGGACTGAGGGCTGAGGCCACCTGTGTGCACACGTTTGCATGCACACACACACACAGCCCCGCCGCTCTTCCGGCCAGCAGAGTGACCACAGTGGCATTCCTGTCCCTCAGCGCCCTGTGGCCGAGAGACAGGCGGATGGACTTCAAAAAGCTGAGATTTGAAAGTCATGAAATCACACATCTGTGCACACCATATAGTAAAGGTAAAATGTTTGAATGAGCCCTTTTGCGGGACTGTTGATCTCCCACCAGGGCTGAGGGAAATCCAAGCCTCTTTCAGATTGTACCCGGGACAGGGCCGCCAAGCAGGCCGCGTCTGCGGGGCCCCCTCCCTCTAGCCTGGAGCTCCTTCTCCAGCTCCCCACACGGCTTCCGGTTGGTCCCAAATTCTGCACAGATGCCACACTGGGACCAAGCAGCATCTGACCGTGGGGAACACTACACCTCCAGGAGAAGTCCCCCCAGAGTGCGCGCAGGGGAACAGGGCCTGGAGCAGGGTCTCCAGGGGCCGCGGGAGGCGGGGCTGCGGGACGGAGACAGTGGAGCTGCCGTCTCTGTGAGTGCTGCGCCCATGACCCGCTGAGCACCCCAGCATGTTGGCGCCTCCCGCGGAGCCTGGGCGACCTTAGGGGCCTGGAGAGCCTCTGCGCCAGAGCGAGTCAGCTCAGTTGGTGTGAAGTTCCCCGCAACGGCACCCTCACAGGGTCCCTGTTTCACACATGAGGAGGCTGAGTTTCAGGGGCTGGTCAGCCGCCAAATCTCCTGCGGGCCGGGCCTCCGCCGTCAGCCCAGCTGCTGGGAGAGTGGCGGGCACTTTGCGCTGACCAAGACCAGAATGCAGTGGGCTGGCTCTGGAGGCCGGTCCTGAGCAGAGTCCACTCAAAACACGAGTCAGTCAATCTCTGGTCAATCCCAGGGGCGCCCTTCAACCCCCACAGGACAGCTGCCACCTTCGGCTGGCCCCACCCCCTGCCACTCCTGGGGAAGGTTCCTTGTCCAAGAGAATACACGTGTGGATGTGTGTGGGGGGAGGGGCAAGGGAGAGTACATGTACATATGTGTGTTTGCATGTGTGTGCATGTGACTGCACGTGTGTGTGTGTGCATGTTTATGCAGAGAGGACCCTGGAAAGGTCACCTCATCATAAGGATGCCTGGGGGAAGGAATGAGTGTCCTGACTGCCATGTTCCAGTCTTCCTCACGCTGCAACTCCGTGGGTCACACTGAAGGGGTCACAGCTTGGGTCATATGTCAGGGTCACACCAGAAGGTCACATGCCCAGTCCCACAGGAACCTGCTGTTCTCAGAGGTTCTGGGTGCTGTGGCACAGGCATGGAGTCACCCCGTGAACTGGTGTGAACCCCGCACAGCGACTTGCCTGGTGTTAGGGCCCAAGCCGGCCCTGTCTTCTGCAGCTCCTTCCCAGGCACCTGGCAGGGAGCCAGTGCTCTGAGCCCAGAGAATGGCTGGACCAGCTGACCTGCCTCTGTCTCTGCATTGCTGAGGGGCTGTGATGGCCGACTTGAGTAAGGGTCTCCCACCTGCTGGACCCTGTTCCTGTGTCCCCATGAGGCAGTGTCCATATGTAAGAAGGTAGTTGAGTAAATAGGGAATGTCTGCTAACATCTGCAAATGGATGTCTCCTGTGCAGTAGTTAGGTGAACGGGTATAATAATAGGTACGTTTGGGACTAGCCACATGGCTCTGTTGGTTAATAGTGCAAGCTCTGAGCAACAGGGTCGCTGGCTTGATTCCTACATGGGCCAGTGAGCTGTGCCCAAGCTGAGCTGCTGCTGAGCTGCCAACAAGTGGCAGGATGGTTCAGCTGGTGAGAGCATGTGCTCCTAACAACAAGGTTGCCAGTTAGACTCCCACATGGGATGGTGTGCTATGCCCAATCCCAGCTAAGGCTGAACACGGCACCTTGAGCTGAGCTACCCCGAGCAGCTGACGGGCAGCCAGATTGCTCACTGGTTAGAGCATGTGCTCTTGGCAGCAAGGTTTCTGGTTTGACTCCCTCATGGGACGGTGGGCTGCACCCACCCGCAGCTAGGATTGAACACTGCACCTTGAGCTGAGTGGCCCCGAGCTGCCAATAGGCAGCCGGATGGCAATTGGACTTGGAGCTGAGCTAGCTGTGGCCTCCACAAGTAAGACTGAAGGACAACTTGGCTATTCCCCTTCCCCAATTCCCCAACACTGTTCTCCTTCCCCAGTTCCCCAATAAAATCTTAAAAAAAAAAAAAAAAGTAGGTTTGGCCTTTGTCCCGATTCCAGGTGAAGAGCTCCTGAAGTCCCTGGAATTTCCTGAGTGATAGAGGTGTCTTATTATTTAGGATGGCACCTGAGCTGTGCTAGTCAATGACTCAGGGCTGGGCTGATAGCCTGGGGCTGGGGGCTGGTCTTCAGACAGACCAAAAGCAGGAGGGGTGCTTATCTGTAAGGAGGGGGCTGCACACTGAGTTATGAAAACTCTTGAGCAAGGCAGTTCGAAGAACTTCCAGGTTGGTGGACATATCAGGTGCTGGGAGGGTGGTGCCCTGGGAGGGTGTGGAGGCTGGCCCCCCACTCACCCCTGGCTGTGTGCATCTCTTCCATCTGGCTGTGCCCTGGTGGTGTCCTTTAAAATAAGCTGGTGATCTAGTAAGTACAGTGCTTTCCTGAGTTCTGTGAGTCATCTTAGCGAGTTATCGAATCTGAAGGGGGATGCCCCCAAATCTGTAGTCCAGTCAGGCAGAAGTTCAGGTGGCCTGGGGACCCGACACTTTCAAATGGCAACTGAACTGGGGGCTATCTCGGGGGACTGAACCCCTCAGCCGTGGGGCCTGTGCTACTGGGCAGTCAGTATCAGGACTGAGGGGAGTTGTAGGACACCCAACTGGTGTTGGGGATTGGAGAATTAGTTGTCGGTGTGGGGGAAGCAAAAACCCTTCAGTGGAAAATGCAGCAGGGGAAACAGGAAAATGCACACACATCTGCTTATTTTTGCAGAAAGATACAAGGAAGGCTGAACTTGAAACAAACAAGACTAATTTTCCTCCTGGGGTGGGAAGGGCTGACTTACCTGACACCTTTCATATAGTTTCACCTTCTGGAACCGTGTTAATGTTTTGCATACTAAAAAATAATAAAATCAACAAAAACGGAAGTAAGATCTGCAAATGGAGTGTAAGCAGTAATGTGACTCCGTATATTTCAAAGGAATGACAGGACCACACTGATGTTAAAAAAAGCACAAACCCAGATAACTTTATCATAGCATTTTGACTATATCGCCTGAGATTAAAGACAAAAAGAACTCTAAACAAACACTAACTCTGATTTGTAGGCTTGCTTTCTGGTGTTACAGTTTACCAATTCTGAACCGAATTCCAGTGTATTCTAAGAATGAACAACTAAATAGATTCTGGATACTAGGAAGCAGGCTTCTCACTCTGGGGGAAGGGTGTTATCGACACGGGACAGGGGACCTGGAAGGAACCCTGAGGTTTGGGGTTGGGATTGGAAGTGTCACTGTGAAGTCGTGGAGATTCATGTATGTTGTATGTGCGTATATGTGTATAGATAGTGTGTGGTCATCCAGTATAGGTTTGTGGATTTGTCTATATATGTATATGGACTTGCACACGCATGCACACATGTATGTATGTGCACATTGATACTTCAGAGAGGAGGGAGGTACAGACTGTGTGTGTGTGTGTGTCACTGCGTATTACATCCTCCCAGCTCTGTCCGCTGAGAGTGCCTAGAAGCAGCAGGCACAGCCCCACAAGGTCTCGGTGGCCCACGATGAACCTGGCGCATCTTTGTGCTGAAAGCGAGCACTCAGAATGGTGGGGACATGGTGGGGACATGTCAGAAGGGTGACTTCCACCAGCCAGATATGGAACAATGTGAACATAAAAGTAAATGATAGTAACAGATCGTAATCCATGAACAAAACAGAAATCCATGGTGACACCAATATAAAGAAATGATGAAATAAATGAAGGGGGTGAAGGAAAGTTTTTCATTAGTCAATCAACAAACTGTGAGCTAACAGAACGATGAGCGTCGACTGGCCGCTTGGAAGCAGCATGAGTGGCTCGGACAAGAATCACTGATGGATGCTGCACTTGGTGGAGCGTGTTTGCTGAAGAACGCGGTTGTTATATGGTCTCAAAGTGCCTTCCCACAAAATGTGTATTAATTTACAAAGGAAAAACGGTAACTTACCAGGGGAAAACCCCTGTCGGGAGCTACGTCATCCAAATGACCCACAGTAGCCTCACCCGTGATGGGCACCAGACCTCATGTGCCTCTTGATGCCACAGGGCAGGACACAGCCTCCCTTTTGGGCATGCCAGTCCTAGAACACACCCTCTCCAACTGTTCAGGACAGCATGTCACAAGTCCAGGCAGAGGCCAGTCTACAAAGTGTCTGGCTTGGGTGTGTCACAAGTCCAGGTCACAACAGACACACTGAGCTGTCCCAGAAGAAAGGGGCATAGAGAGACAATGCTACTTGGGGTCCTGGGTTGGATCCTGAGCTAGATTTTTTTTTTTGGCTAAAAAAGACATTATTGAGACAGTTAGCAAAATATGAATAAAGTGTATAGATTAAACAGTGGTATTGTATCAAAGTTAAATTCCTGGTTTCCATCATTGCATGCAGGTGATGTAAGAAACTGTCTTTGCTTTTAGAAAATCTACATTGAGATATCTAAGTGTAAAGAGGCAACTTCCTCTCAACTGGCTTAGAAAAAACTTTAGGTAGATGATAGCTAGAGAGAGGATAGAGTTTAAATAGATGAATGGATTGACAGGTGGATAACAATAGATAAATAGAGAAATAGAAGACTGATAATGATGGATGGATGGGTGGATTGGGAGGTGGATGGGTGGGTGGGTGGATGGGAGGATGGATAGGAGAAGAGCCCAGCGATAAAGGGCACAGTGTGCATGACCAAGCCTTCCCTGACCCCCTAGCGACACCTTCCTCCCCAAATTTGCTGTCACTGTCCACCTCACCTCCAGTGTACCCATGGTTCCCCTCACACACCCACCTTCTGGGCACTGCCCACTGTTCCCAAGTTGCCAAGACCCCACACCTTGCCACACAGGCCTGGAAGCTGGATGGTCAAGGTCCCACTTGGTCTGAGCACCCAGCCCTGTGTCCTTCTATGAGGACCCTGGTAACCATCTGGCCCCAGTACTTAGCTCCAGGTCCAACTCACTGACGCTGGCTTTGGATGGGTCCTCAGACTCTGCCGAGGCTGCTCTGGGCTCTTATCCAAGTCATGGGGCTCCAGACTGGAGCTAAGGGGGGCTCCCCCAGGAACTCCAACCTGTGTGTGGTGTGCTCACCTGTGCTGCTGGGCACTGGCACCTTCCCACACACAGCACAGAAGACACCTGCCTGTCCTGCCTCCAGCTCTTCCCTCTGGCTGTATGAACTCCCCAGACTCTATCGCCACACTCACCCCCAACCCAGCCCTTAGTTCCAAGGCCTGAGAGCTCACCTCCCATGAGGTGAGGTGTCTGGACCCAGGACCAAAGCCATCAGAGGAGGACAGGTGCTGGGGGGCACCTGTCCTGCCCACCTTAGGGGGCAGACCTAGAGACTCCCAGAGCCAGAGGCAGAGGGGACTGTAGGTGTGGCTTCTGTGGGGTGGGTGCTGCATTTCCAGAGCTGCTGGCTGGGAACTGCCCAGGTGGGTGAGGACACTCTTGGCAGCTCTGGGAGTCCATGGGCCCCCCAGACCTCCCATCTCTCCTCCAGCTCGGTGGCCATGGGAGATAAAGGTGCTCCTTGGGGACCTCGCGGATGCCAGGGAGTGGTCTCACTCCCCTTCCGTAGGCCCCATGACCCCACAGATCCACGCATTTGCCCCTTTCTTCATTCATTAATTCATTCATTCATGCCTTCCATCTATGTGGCTGGGGGATGGCTGGGGGGGTGGGGGCAGGAACTGCATGTGGACACTGCCCAGAGCCGGGAATCCCCCTGTCAGATGGGGGAGGCTCAGAGTCCAGGCCCAGTTCCTGTGGATGGAGGACACGGCTGGTAGTGGGGTCTGGCGGCAGTCGGGGATGGACCCCAAGACCTGGAGGCCCCCCTGGGTGGAGGTGAGCTCATTGCATTGTAGCTGTCTGGGCAAGGAGCTGGCAAGGCTCTGTTCACCTGTGGCTGTGGCCTCTTCCGCACCGGCCAACCTCGGCACCCCAGGGTCCAGCTCACTGCCCCTCCGAGGACGCCACTGCTCCCCTGTCCTTCAGGGGTCCCTCTAGGCTGTGGGGGCACGAT